ACTTCATAACTGTAATGACGTCTCCTCATCTGTAACGACGACTGAAATATGTGTCAAGGCAGAGATAATACGTACAAGAAAAGCAATTGCACTGGAAACCTGTGCTGTTCAACTGAATAATGGGTCTTCTGAACTTATTAAACTCCTTCGAAATAAACTTAAATGCTGTAAAGTGAAATTATGGAGCATGTTTATAAAGGACAATCAAGTGCATGAAGACCCTTGATGTATTGCGGAGCTGATTAGCGAACATGTTGGTCCTACATTAGCAAGCGAAAACGCAACAAATGAACCACACCTGACCTAAATTCCTTCCTGTGAAATTGCCAGTGTTGAGTTTAGTGTAATGAACATTTCTAAGGTGACTGGTAAATTGAAGCTCTCCTACACTGAATGACCAGTTGAAGTCCCAGCCAACGTGCTGAATAATGGAAGCAGTGATCTGTGTGCTATTCCTCTTAAACTATTTATTATATCACTCTCTACATAGTGTTACCTAAGACTACACATATCATCCCAACAATTAAATCTGGGCCCACAGCGAATGCTGATATTTACCAACCCATAAGCTTAACTTCAGTAGTATCTAGGGTGATGGAGAAATTAGTTAAGGCAGAGTTAATACATCTACTTAACAACGATCTGATATCGACCTCACAGCATTAGTACTTGTGGTCAAGGTAGTGTGACACATGTCAGCTTTTTGTAAGGTCCCACACAGAATACCTCTCCTCAGGCTAAAGTCATTCGGAATCAGTAACCCACAATATTCATGGTTCGTCTCATTCCCATATGGAAACAAAGCAGTGGTAAAATACAACGATTGTCTTTCAGCTCCAAGACCAATAACCAGTGGAGTTATCCAGAGAAGTGTATTAGGTCGACTCTTGTTTCTAATGTACATAAACGATAGATGTATTACTGTAAGATTTGGAAGAGCATACTTAAATGCAGATGATCGTAAAATGGTATACAGCTATAAGCCTGAAGATCTGGACGAAAATATAGCCAAGATTCAGAGTGGTCTTGATAACTTAACTACTTGGAGCGAAACATGGCAGCTGCCGTTTAACCATAATAAATGTGGCATCATGCATTTTAGTTCAGACACATACAGACACATACATCAGCGCATGATCTGGGTACCCGTTACTCCAGAAGCCTAAAATTCGAAAAAAATGCCTCAACTATTATCTCTAAATGCAGACGACTAACTGGGTTTATAAATAAGAACTTCTTGAAAAGTGATGCTAAGCTTACATTTTTCAAACTGTGTTTAAGACCCTCACTTGAATATTGCTCACATATCCTTCCAAACATGAATTTCATGGACAATGTACGAGTAGAAAATGTGACTCGGCGACTACTCAGATGGAGCCATAACCTCAACTACACAGAAAGATGCAAACATCTTTCCCTAGAACCTCTGTGGCACTGTCGGTTGAAAAAAAAACTAATACTTCTCTATAAACTGCTAAGTGGTCTCTCGTCCGTAAAATACCGCCCAACGATGAACCACGACACTGCTTACAGACTCAGAAACAACGCACATACACCATTAACAACAAGACGTCATTGCGTGTAGTTTCTTTGTGACATGCAACAATTTGTTGTGGAGAGAATTTCCTATTTCTAACCATATCTGTGACACAATCACCTGGCTCAAGTAAATAGTAACGCTGTTGTTAGACTATAGAGATTCGTCAAAAATTTCCAGAACTTAGCCCAAATCTCAACGGACGTTTTGATGATTCATGTAATATTCAAACTAACCTAAGAAACTATTAAGAGACCATGAATATACTTCACCCCTGTTACAGTCCATACCCATGTCACGAAATGACAAACGAATTCCTCTACTTCTACTATTAGTGGTAGGTCACACATTTGAGTTTGTGCCCGAAACATTCGGAGTTTTCTCAAAATTTAAATCCCCATTATCATCTTATTGATCAAGGCATTTTAGTCTGTATTTCTAATATACAAATAAATTGAAAAGCCTGTAGATGCTGACCAACTAATGTCAGTTACAAGGAACTCTATTTAATCGATAGACAGTTTCATAAATTTTTATTTCGCCAACTGATTAACATCCAAACACCTTACTTTCTTACCTACTTATTGCCTTACTCATGAACATATTTTAACACAATTTTTACTCATTTTCTTTATTATCTAAACTACTTACCAACTGACCCATATCTTACACTTTGTATGATTATTTAGCCTAATATCAGTTTGATACGCTACGCGGATATTTGGTTCAATATACAGATGCCAACTTTGTCTGATTCGCTTTGTACGCTGAGGTTGTAGAGAGCGTATTCCAGCCGGATTTACAAAAGATGTAGCTTAAACTAAAACACAAAAACCTATTACTGAAAGTAAGAGAGCCTAAAATCGATAGAGAAGGGTGGATGATGTAACTGTAAATGAATTTCTACAGTGGCCGTTCCAATGGGTTCCAATAGGGGCACTCCTGTACGCTTTTCCCAGTTCCGGGTCCCAACCAATTCAAAAAGGACAAAATTCTAGGGGAAAGCGGCTTTATTAATTAAAAAATGGAAATACAAAGCATTACCTGGAAATAGTGCTTCTTCCAGGGTAAAGTTACTCCGCAGAGTATCAGACACAGTGACAGATAAGTGACGCTAAGTCCAGCGGCCACTGCATCAATCCAAATATGGCTGTAGCCATATTAAAGATCAAATTTAAACAACATATATACAGTTCAGAAGCAAACACAAAAACTTCAATATAAGTACAAAATATAGAAAGAATAACAATATACAATGATAAAATCTCAAATTGGAATCAAATAAAATACCAAAAATGTCAACAGAAAAAGTCCGTCATGTCATAGCAAAAATATGTAAACATGGAGGGATTTTCCAAAAAACAAAACATTCAAAAAGAATTCTACAGTAACTGACCAGCATTCATGACGGCAGGGAAATATAGATAATTAAGGTGTAGCAGGATGTGACTAATCCATCATATGGATGTTTTTTTCACGTCAACTTGGTCAGCTACTCATGTGTGTAACCATCTAATCATGCCTTAAAATAGCGCATGGTTGTATCCTGAAGTGACAAAATCTAAGTCTTGGGATCCTTCTTCAGCCAAAGATTAGTAGAATCGCATTATTCTCGGTATCGGATGCATACAGATTGTGACCCGTGACACAGTGTTCCAGTTTTAAATACTCAAGGTCTCTAAAATATTGTTCTGGTATAAATACCATGGAAAAACGTTCATTACCCATAAGTATAAGAAGAACGGAAGACTTGACAGTTCTAATGACACGCCTCAATGGAAGCGGAAGAACAAAGCACAATCAACAACTGGTTTTACCTTCTTTCCAAGAAATTCTATTACATGGAGATCTGGGAAATTATGTTGAAAAATGTTCACTAGTGAGTTCCCGAGAGACGGCTTTAAAAAAACAGTAAATGAGGTATCGCCAAAGAATCAGGTGACTGTGCCTTCATTATGATATTCTGTTAATCAAAGTATTTTCCAACAATTCGTTTTTTCAGTCTTCTCTATTCATAATTATATTTTCACATTTGTAATCACACTAGTGACTTGTTTCACAAACCTACATAAGTGCAGGTGTAAAGTTGGTGTTCCGAAAAGTATGTGCTGAGCCACGACTCAGCCTTAGATAAGTAAACTTTCTGTTCTCCTCCTCCCTCATTACTTTTCATTTCTCTTTTTTCAGCACCTCATTCGAAGTTGTCGAAGAACTGGATGTTTTGCCCAGGAGCCTGTCAAATTATTAACCGGCAAGTTCCAACAGAATCATCATCACAAATTAACTCTATATGCATTTACAAATTCAGCTGCTCCTGCGGAGATAGGTTTATCGGGATTACTACCAGGCAACTTGACCAACGAATGAATGAACCTATTCCAGTATGGTTAATGAAGGGCCAGTTAAAAACAATACGCAAGTATTTCGGAAACTTCGAGCCTCCCTTCAAAAAGACACGAAGGATTAAAATAGTATAGTTAATACTAATGAACGCCGCCAAGGCAAACGAAACTTTTTACTTTATGCTAAGACAACTTAATGCAATCACTTCGTAATTGTCCTCAACTCTCTTGGAAACATACACACGGCCTAACCATGAAGTTGACAAAGACTTATAAACCCCTGAATCGAGTGTAGAGACAAGCAACTAGATGGGTGAGAGGCTTGAAGAAGTCGGATTCAAACACTTGTGATTATTCCTGCTGATGCATAGGTGAACCAAAGGTGATCTGATAATGGAATTCAACATATGAGGTAAGCAAAATCATCCCAACACGAGCATCTTGACAATATATCACCATCACTGCCCACGAGGGATAAACGGCACATCGAAGAGCGAACATCAGGGTACGCGGCCGCTTGTTCTCATTAGGAGTTGTCGCAGCTTGGAATGCTTTCCCAACCGAGGTGACGAAAGCCCACTTAGTCGATAGCTTCAAGAAGAAACTTGATAAGCAGGTACTCACATGCAAATGATCATCTCCCTCTTAGACCAGCTGTGTCCGATGTTTGTCTCCAGACTTACCTGTTCTTATCACTGTCATTTCCTCACATCACTAGCTTATTCTATCCCTCCTATTAGTTCCGTTTCCTCTATCTTGATTAAACTTCACTTCAGTAGCACATTCCTCACTATTAATTAACAAACTGAATTATCAGTATGCTTGCTTAGTTCTGAAATCTTCCTCTTATTAGCACTAGCCTCTCGGCAGTTGACGTGATAGCAGCTGATATCTAGGATCCCTACTGCCCTGAAACACGTATTGATTCAAATCACGAGGCATACAAACTCACAAGCAGCTACAAGTTGACTACAATTAGGCAGCCGAGTGACTAGACTCTTATTTATTGGACACTAATAAACACTCTTAACCGTAGTGAAAGAACAGGAAGTGAGTGCAAAGAAAACGATATGTTTATATCAGCTAGTGAGAAACGTTTCGGATATTGGATATAGACAATTTCTGAAACATTTTCAGTTTTCTCTAGGTCAACCGTACCTTGCTGTTTTTCCGATGAATCTATGATCTTCAGGGAATGGGGGTGAAAAATGAAATAAAAAGCAGTTCCTACCCTAGCTCTTCTACATGTTTACATTATCCTCACCCGGGTACAAAATGTTCATATAAAAAGCGGAAAGAATTAAAAGAAAATATAGGACTTTGTGAGAGTAAGTTTGTTGCATGGTTTGTATGAAAACAGAGATTATGGCCAATATGATCCTGAAAGAAAAAAACATCCAAGATAAGGATTGTCTTAAGCAAAATAAAAAATCCGAGGAAACTTGTGATGTCAAATCAATTCAGAACACAAAATTTAGTATACCTCCTTCATCATTACAACAGTAAGGTCTGTTTTGTAAAATATGTATCGTCTTTTTACAGAAGGTATGTCTCGGAGAAGTTTAATGTAAGTATTCCATAGTTTTGTAGGTGTTTCTCTCGAAGTCCGCACTTTCGAAAACATTTGATTTATTTTGTTAAGTTATGAAGGAAATCTAATCTGAAAAATATGGATAAAATAATTTCAAAAACTTGAAAATTTCATTTTTTCGGTTCCATCGAAACGTAAGATTTTTGTGGGTTAGTTCGAACTAAAGCTTCACTTGATTTATTGCGATTGCGATTAAGGGTTAGAAATTAAGGTCATAGTTTTCATCATCAAAAAGCACAGTCTCCAATGCCGAAATGCTATCTTAGCATACGGATGAGTAAAATTCCACACTAAAATGCAAGTTCTTCTATCTTGTATTTTAATGTGTCGACCGTATATTATGGTTTCACCGAGAATTGATCTTGTACTGTGCTCAAAAAACTGTTCATCTTCCCCATAGTGTATTTCTGTACATAATATCGCTCGCATACTTGACCTAAGATACTGTCTGACCATGAACAAATAAGTAAGCTTCATATGTGTGGGTTGCTTGAATCTTCCCATCGATGCTTAGCTCTGCCGTTGATCAAATTTTTTTGGCATACGTTCATCTTCAATAGTTTTATAATATTGACACGCGTGAAAAGGATTGATCATTTGCAGTCCTAAACACAAGTAAGAAGATAACTCAGCGAACAGTTCTCACTTGAAGTCTCGGAGTGAAAGTCAACTTCGGTTCATCCAGCTATCGACTGACACTGTTTATTACACTTTTCTGTGTTTTTATCTTAACTTCACTAAGTTATGTTTCCGTTTCAGACTCAGATAAGTAGACATATATATCTCAGTTTACGTTACACTTGCAGATCTGTAGATCATGCTTAAAATGCTGTATTATCAATCAAACTTTTGTGCAACAGTTTAGGGCTAGTGATACTGCTCATTGTCTATAACTAACATGTATGGATCAGAGTTCCGAAATGCTAGCTATTAGTTAAAAAGTGATAGTTCCGGCTGTTCTTATGTGGGCGTGAGAAAACAGACTGGTCGTTTACCTAGACAGGTTATTTTGTATTCTGACAGGTTCTTAATGTGTCAAACATACTTCGCTAACTCTTGCATTTATTGACTGTCGATTGTTGACTGCTGATTAATATATGTTCTTATCAGATCACTCTCGTGTTCTTAGTTGAACTTGTTTTTAAGTCTAGAGAAATAGTGCCAACTAGGTATCTAGTGTAAAGCGAGTGATTTATATGCACAGACGAAACGCTCGGTGTTCATCTTGAGCAAATAAATGTCCCATTACAGTAATCAGTCGGTCAGCAACAGCGTACGTACATCAGTTCAACTGCCATACCATATAAACACATACAGTTCGACTTGCCAAATCAAATCTCATAGTGGTAGGATTAGTAACAGTTTTGACGGTAATCGAAAAGATGAGCAGTCGAAGATATGGTTCGAGAAGAATTTCCCGATTAAATAAATGTAAAAAGATAGAAGAAAGGTCAAGAGGGGTTTATTAAATCAGAATTTGTGAAAAGAACAAGAATGGATGCGTCTGCGCCATTGCAATTTATTGTGAGCCATTTTATCCAAAGTCTGTAACCACTGGTTAATATTGTCATGTCAACCTGTATCAGTTAGTCTGCACCTACCAACATCGCTCGGTCCACTTGTCAATGACTTTCATGAACTGGGGTGTGGCAGCAGTAATGTGTCTCCCTCGGACAACCAGCATCTGCGACGATGCTGCCTTATCAACAACAAAAGGAATGGGTTAGAAAAGGTCAACCCCAAAAATGTCACATCTATCCTTACCTCAGGGATTTCCATCTCCTGCGGTAAGGCCATTTAAAGAGCAGAGCTACTACTTCAAAAACATCCCATATAAAAGCCGTGCGCGATAAGCCTCAAGAGGTTATTCTCTTGGGTCACCCTCAAGTTGCTAAGAAGAACGCTAACCAAACTTTTCTAGTCCCACAAAAAATACCCCTCTACAGTGTGGGCAATCGGGAAGTGACATCAGTATCTGACTTTACGTCCCTGCACGTAATTAGTTTTCTGCACTGACTGACAATAAAACAGATCATTTTAACGTATTTGTGTTTTAGGACAGTTGTTTAAATCCCATGTGGCCTAAGAGACTTCGTTTTGCTTTTAACTGATACACTTTCTCAGTATCTGTTCATTTTTGACTCCACATAAAATGCATGGGAGTTTGAGTGAAAATGAAAATTAGTTCAAATAAACAGGTTTTTTTGTAATATTTGGAGGAACTTTACCTGGAATTGAAGAAATTACCATGATTAAATTCTAGGTGAGATTTCAACTGATTTATATCCATTAGCGATCTACAAAAAGGATAACTCCGGGGCTAGTTTATTGTTTTCTGTTTATGACAGTAAGAGTAATTTCAGGACACCAATAATGAACGTGATAAGAGACGGTGTTTATTACAGACATAGAGCCAAGATTTTTTTCTTTTGGGTTAATGGACTGAAATTCACACTTCGTCAGATCCTGGGATACAGAAACACATTAATACGTCCGAAAATAGTTGTATTCCTGTACCTTATGGCAGCATTCGTCATTAAAAGGTGTACCAAAGGAATACATTAACCTTATATGAGCTCTCTACTCGAAAACTACTGAAAGAGTTACAGTTTATGGTGAACTGTCATCCGAATTAATTACCTCGACTGGTATTCGTTAAGCTTGTCCACTCTCTCCATTCTTATTCAACTTTGTCATTGACATGCGTTTACAAACAAATCTCGTCGTCTGACTTTACAGTAATTGACCTACTAGGAGATTCACTGCTTGATGTAGAATATACCGATAACATATTTCTTTTTGGTGAAGACGCTGACAAAATGCAGAGTCGTCTGACTACCCTAAGCAACAATGCAAACATGTTTGGGATGAGACTCTTCCCCTCCAAATGCAAAATGTTGCTTCAGGATTCGCTTGCATCGGCACCTGAACTAGTGATAGAAAGTGAGGTAGTTGAATGTGTTGACCGCGTCATTTATCGTTGGACTTTCATTAGTGCTGGTAGCTTGGTGTGTGACGAAATGTAGGCAAGGATATAGAAAGCTCGACTGACTTTTACCAACTTGCGTCACTTATGGTGTAGGCGAGATATCTGTTTGCTAACCAAAGGATCAGTTTACTGAGCAGCAGTCTGTTTCGTCCTACTTTATGGGTATGAAACATTGCCCCGAAGAATAGATGATATTAGTAGATTACCAGTATTCGATCACAGGTGTCTGTGGAGCATCGCTCGTATTTCCTGTGACCACTGAGTAAGCAATGCCAGTGTTACGTAAAGGGTACTAGGTGAGGATGTCAAATCAATTGATGAACTCGTGAATGTACATCAGTTGAGGTAGTCGAGACATGTGTTACGCATGCCTAACCACCGACTGCCATGACGAGCTATGTTTTGTGGTGTGGAAGCAAGCAGGCAGGAAGAAGGCTAAGGGCTGTCAGATCAAAACATGTCACAAGACTACGAGATGGACTGAGTCATGTTGGTAGGTGTAGACTAACTGATACAGGTTGACATGACAATATTAACCAGTGGTTACAGACTTTGGATAAAATGGCTCACAATAGTTTGCAATGGCGCAGATGCATCCATTCCTGTTCTTTTCACAAATTCTGATTTAATAAACCCCTCTTGACCTTTCTTCTATCTTTTTACATTTATTTAATCGGGAAATTCTTCTCGAACCATATCTTCGACTGCTCATCTTTTCGATTACCGTCAAAACTGTTACTAATCCTACCACTATGAGATTTGATTTGGCAAGTCGAACTGTATGTGTTTATATGGTATGGCAGTTGAACTGATATACGTACGTACTACGTTCTATGTTATTGCTGTGTGACTGTTTTCGTTCTCATTCGATATCACTTTAAATTTGGTCATTTTATTAAAACTTCAATTAAAGTCGTACGTTTCTGTAACCCATCTTGTTCAAAATTGCTTTCCAGATTTTGAAGAAACTTTGTTACTTCGCTTTCATGTACTTATTAATATAGATACAACAAAAGTTATTTCTTAAATCAACCTCTAGTCACAAAAGTAGACTTTAGATAAATCACTGTCTAATCATGAAATGACTAAAGTAGTTGACTCAGTGCTTTGTCAACCAGAAAAGTCATTTGTCATTTACGATAGTCCATTATTCTTAATGGGTAATTATTTCTCTTTAAGTTACATGACAAACACTATATTGGTTTAAATAGATTGATTTCTACAAGTCTCTTAAAGCTATGTTACTTGCTTTCAATATTTTTGCGAAGTCATAATACTAAATATGTCTAAACAGTAAAAACCCGTAAATGCTCATTAGCAAGTTTTAAAACCGCTTATGCTTACACTGGTATAAGTTCTATTTTATACCTATCAGCATCCACGTTTGATTTAAGCAGTCGTTAAGCAGTTTAAGGCGTTTATCGAACATAACATTCAGTATTGCATATTTACCATCTACTAGATGAATTATTACTAATTAGCCTGTTTACTGACGATATGTTATTAAATGGAGTTGGTCAACCCTTTATCTTCATTTTTCCAAGACGACACGTTTTTTAGAAGTATTTGTTATGTGTTCTCAAACTTACTGTGTGCTGACTATAATAATGTAAATAGTTACTCTACTTGTTGATCTCATTTTGAAATTTATCTCAGAAAACTACAACTCGTCAGGCGTATTCTGATAGATGGTTGCCGAAGAGACCTCGAGATGCCGTAACAAAAAGCACAGAAGAAAACATATCTGTTCTACTTTCCCGTATTTTAACAGATGATGGCGGTCAGTCGAAATGTGAAAACCACCCCACTGATCCTCACGTATTCAATCATGTTCCAAAGCAATTATTCATTCAGGAAACAAATTCAGTTAACATTGCATCTGATGAAACTGATGAACCAGTTCAACAGAGTAAGTTTATCACAGAGCATTTTGACTAATCTTAATTTTATGTTAATTTTTTCAAAAGAACTATATTGTTGCAACAAAAGTAGTACTAAGATATAAAGATAACGAATCAAATGTTTAAATAGATATCTTTAAAAGCGAGGCTATTTATCTCCCTTTAGTTAACGTACATATCAATTGTGGTGATGAATTGTTGTATACACAAGTTAGATCTGATCAATTTATAGGATAAAACTGTACGTCGAAGTATTCAACCGTACTTGACGGAAAACAAATAAAATCAATGTGATTCTGAACATTCAGCAAAACTTTATATCACCACAAATTTATATATATATATATATATATATATATATATATATATATATATATATATACAGCCCGTGGCCTCACTGATGTGGGTATATTATTATGTCCTAGGTCAGAACTAGCTCTCTTATACTGGATCCCAGTTGATAGTCGCTTACTCACTGTCCGATTAAATGGGACAGTAATGACTCGGGAAGATAGGGACACTCGCGGTTGCGTTTGTTGTCTCTACCTACGCTCCCACTGACTGTAGCTCAGATGAGGTAAAAGATTAGTTCTAAAGAAAACTTTCTTACCTCCTCCAAAAGGTTAAACGCTTTGATATAGTAATAACAGCTGTTGACTTCAGTGCTCAAGTAGGTAGACTAAATGAAAACGAAGGATGCTTGGGTGAATATTCTGGTGTCGTTGCTCAAAGATCAGTTAATGGTGACCGTCTGCTGCAACTAAGCTCAAATTACCGCCTATTTCTAGCAAATACTATCTTTAAGCATAGAGAAAAACATCTGACCTTGCGACCACCAAAGCCGACCCAACAATGTACTCGGCTAAACCACACTGCTATCAGCCATCGATGGAGAGGCTTCATTGAAGATTTTCACTCATTCTGAAGCCCATGTTTAGATTCAGATCACGCTCTAGTGCGAGCACGTATTTGTTTGCGGCTAACTGGACGTAGGGAAGGCTCCGCAAGGAAACCTGTTAAGTTTCTACTTAATGATAGCACAGCTATGAATATATTTCAGGAACAACTAGAAAAACAATTAGGCGGCTATGTGGTAAGTGTTGCCCATCCTGTGATTGCTGGGAATGATATTCAAAAAGCCGAGCGAATAGCAGTGACATCTGCTAGTAAGGTAAACAATTATGTAAGGGAGAAACAGCGGATATCAGTAGCATCTACTGAACCGAAAGATGCTCGGAAACACATATCATCTAATTACGAACATGATAAGGAGCGGAGTCAGCCTACGCAACGATAGCGAACAGTGATGGGTCGCGAAAGCAAGAGAGGTGGAGAAAGCAGCGGCGATAGGCAACTATTCAGACTTATCAGGGGAACTGGTATTAGGAACCCGAATGTAAGTGAGACTGTTTCGGAAAAAGATGGTCTTATTATTCATTCTCAAACCAGGAGATTGGATCGATGTGCAAAACACTTCAGGGATCAGTTCGATTGGCCTTCAGCCACTCTTTGCTTACGCACGATCTCCAGTCAACCTGAATGGCAAACAGATATAAGTCCTCCGACTCTAAATGAAGTTTGAAAAGCTATAGGAAATCTGAAGCCAAACTTCTAGATCAACAGGCTAAATTTCGTGTGCCGACCAAATAGTAACATTGCGGATCATTGTAAAACAATCGATTGAATGGAACTCACCACTCTGCATCAACTTTATTGACTATAAGAAAGCATATGACAGCATGGGCAGGACAACACTATGGATGCTTCTTGGACACTACGGTGTGCCTGAGAAGATAATCAACATCATGCGGAATTCTTATGATGGTTTAAACTGCAAGATCGTGCACGGTGGACAGCTAACAGACTTGTTCGAGTTGAAGACCGTTGTCATGCAAGGTTGCTCACTTTAACCCTTTCCCTTTCTCCTGGTGGTCGACTGGATTTTGAAGACCTCAACTTCTAGGAGTAAGCATGGTTTACACTGGACAGCTCGAATGCAGATGGGCGATTTAGACTTCATAGATGATCTGCCTCTTCTATCCTACACGCAACAACAAATGCAGGCGAAGACGACCAGTATAGCGGCAGCCTCTGCAGCAGTAGACCTCAATATTCATGAAGGAAAAAGCTAGATTTCGCGATAGAACATAACACGTGCTAACCAAATCATACTTGATAGAGAAGTTTTTGAGGATGTATCAGCCATAAATATCTTGGCATCAGCGATGATAAACAAGGTGGATCTGATGTGGATGTGAAGGCACCGATCGGTTGAACATGAGTAGCATTTTTTCAATCGAAAAACATCCAGAACTCAAAACATTTCTCAACCAACCAAGTTCAAAATATAACATGTTTGCAGCTGGTCTATGTTGAAAATACATGCACAATATCGTGACCTCCAAGTGTGTAAAAATCATAACGTTTTTATTGTTCCAGAACCCACACCGCTGCATTTTGCCCACAAATACATTATGTTGATCCTGAATACGAGCAACCATATCGACTATTGTCGATATGTTAGTGCTGAGGAATAAGTAATTTAGTGGAACTTTCAGGTCACACCATTCGTATCAGCCTCCCAATATAGCTACAGCAGTAATGATTAACTCAGTGATGTTAAGAATTTAGCTTTACATAAGTTACTTTGCAAAATAAATAACCAACTTAACAATAAATTTATAGAATTTACTAACAAGTAAACCTAATATAGACAACAGTCTTTTAAGTTATCCTGTTATTCTAATTACGCGGGAAGTTTGCTATCCAACGTTTTCGCTAAAACCAGTTCATTCGATCACATAGCATACATCTTCTTACCGAAATGAGCTATGTTCTTCACATCTGAGAAAGCTGAGTCTCTAAATGTTGAATAACTAATTTAAAAATATACAAAGATTTTTCATAGAATCGTAGAATAAAGTGATCGAGTTTAGGAACCAAAAATTTATGTGCATACAGTTAGATAAGCCTAAATATTATTTTTTATATGAACTGGGATTCTTAATTGTTATTCATATATGGGACGTAATGCCTCGAGATTTTATTAATTTTCTCACTCGTAATACTACATTTATATGGTAACTCATATCAGCTTTATTTCAAATTTCCAGAAACTTGCTAATGCATTTTATGAATTTAACACCAAGTAACTAGACCAATTCTGCAATGAAATTACAGACATCCACAAGTTTTTGATTATTAATACCATTGAATGTACTTCTCAACCGTTTCTAGTCAAAAGTATATAGCTTTAGCGTATATCCTGCCAGTGATTATATGTTTTTACTTGTTACCGAAATCACTTGTCGCGTTTAAATAAACCTTCGCTCTAAAACAATAATTGTTTGAACAAAGCAAAAGGAACGGACGTAGCACAATTACATGAATTCATTTTATTCCTTGGTTTCCTAATAGCTTCGGACAACTTAAACATTCATAACTAAACAATTGGTGTAAAAACTTTAGGTCATCATATCGTAGGGCTTCTCTCATTAATGAAGATTCGCAAAACCAGAAAATATCGAGATTTTGAAATAATTGAATATTTTTATGTTAACTAACATGAAAATTTTAGAAGAAATTGTTCTTATGAAAAACATGATAACAGGTCAACGGAAAAAAATGACATTGAAAGTTGCCTACCAATGTTTGTGCTTCCGCATACACATTTAAACTGGTATACACCGTCGAGACTAACATAAGGTTGAGTACTTGTCTTCTTTGAATGACCTAACGAGCTGGAGATGAAAAACAAAGGTAGTTAAGATTAAATATGCTTAGTTTTTATGTTCACGCATATCCTTCTTAAGCAACTCTAATATCTACTTTTTTTCTGATAATCGGCAAATCTTTAGATGGCTCGGTTCAGACTGTCATTAGGCCTAATACTCCAACTTCAAAAGCTTCTTTGTCAATTCAGTGTTCAGTGGATAAACCAACTACAAATTCTGTTGGGATTCATTGTGACATGTTAAGCGTAATTAAAAGTGATGATTTTTCATTTGTTCTGGGTGAAAATACTAAACTAATTGCCCAGGTAGGTGCTTCAAGTTATCGCCATCAAATATTTAACTTACATAATCTAAAATAAAACCATAAGTTGCACTAAAGTTAGCGATATCAGATTTTCCAGTTGAACTGTAACTACAACAAGATTGACAGACTTTCTTAGCCAGTATTAGAGTCGATCAGTTGCTACATTTAGAACGGGCGAACCAAATAAGATTTACTTAGACCTGAATGCATCTCTGAATCCTTTAGTGAGATTCAGTTAACATTTCCTTGATTCTAATACCATAAGGAAGTTTAATAATTGGCCTACAGCAATATGAAGTTTTTTGTCTAAAAATTCATTCAAATGGAATAAACGGTGTTACTTTTAGCAATAATTTTATGCTGTTTAACTGATACATCACATGGAATTTTACCGCAGTTTAGATGATTTCTGTCATGTAGCAGTTCTTTAAATATATGGCGTTTCAATACACATTTGTTACAAGAAACTCTCACGGTAAATTGCATAGTTTTCAATATTTCACTTTCCTATCTTTTTAGCCGCTAACTTGTACACAATAACCTAGAATGCCGACGTTAGTTATCCAGGAAAATTGATGTTGTGTACAGGCCAAATTAATCTACACTTTTGAATACATATCAGGGATTTTAAATGAGCTGAATACTAACTGAAAGTACTGGTAACAGTCTTTACTATTTATTTATCGACTATTGCATAAGAACAATAAAAATCCACTTCTCTGTTATCACTTCTAGAAAGTATGAAGTTGTCATTTATGACTTCCCGTTGATAAAATTATTTTGTGTGACTGCCAGTGTTATGTCATTTTCAGTGAAAAATTCTATTTATTTACATTAGCTACAAAGATGTAAACCAAATGATATGCTTAAGTCTCACCAAAGTTTCTGATACACGTTACTTATAAATAACCATTTATTTTCTGATCATTTCTATCATGAAGATATCTCATAAATATGTTTTTGCTTTTGTATCGTGTAGCTTATTTTGAAATAAGTTTTCTAACCGCTTACCTTTTGTGAAAAATTGTCCAACTATTTTACAGAATGCACTTCCAATATATATTTTGTCCCTACAATTATTTTAAAGATTTAAAATATATTTGGTTATTTTTAATATAATCAGAAAGTTTTTAGTTTTCAGACACCAATGCAATGATCAAAGTTTTCATATCGACTAACTACTACAATCAAAAAATCATATGAAAATTATTAACCAATGCCACTGCATTACCACAATCTTGTATTGATTCTAATTTACAGCAAAAAGCATATATTGAATATTTGAAACATGCTCTGTCAGCGGAACAATATAAAGTTCAAAGTCTAAATAGTCAGTTGTGTAAAAATCAACTCGAATTTGACAAAGCTAAATTAAACTGGTTGCAGAAAGAAAATCAGTTCAAGGTGAGTTAGGAAAAACTACTGAGCATTTTAAACATCCACGTTTCTATTCTTCTCTATGATAGTAACCATTCGTAGATTTACGTCTTATCTTCATTAAATTTATTCTATTATGCGGGTGAACAAACAGTTCATTTCAGATAAAACAAACAACAAACTTATGAATTAAAATTAAGTTGCTATTTGTTAATGTATAAATACGACTTTAAAAAATAAGTTTTTTTTGTGCTATTCTAGTTACTACAATATCTCATAAATAACTGTTTAAATGTTTTCAAACAACTAAATATGAACAATACACAAAACAATGTAGTCAATCGAAAACGTATCTTATCGATACCTTGTATAGTTAATTGTTCATTTGACCAGCAAAACAAATGGTTAGATTTCAAGCCTGAGTGAACGAGAAAATTCTATCAATCAGTTGAAATTAATGTTATCTGCTCACTTATTAGTTTATTTTATGGTGTCTGCATCTATTTTATCCATAGTGTGATAATGTCGAAATAATCTATTCCAGAGTGATTAGGTCAACAAGTAGTTGATCTTGTTTTATTGACACCTGAATGCTGATATCAACTTTCGATTTACCAACTGCATAAAAATATACTATTCAGAGTTATTGTATAAACATAATATTACTTTGAGAATATTGCTTCTTTTGTAACAATAAAATAAAATAAAGCACTAATCTGTTTCGTAAATCTCATGATTCTTATTCATATTTATAATCTAATTTTAGAAACTGTTAGATAGGTAAATAAAAGATTTTCATTATAGGTTTGTGAAGATTGTTTATGTTCATTGAAATCATTAATTGTTCATTGTTAGACCACCACCTAGAGACACTGGACGGCCGTTTCGTCATACTATGGGACTAGTCAGTATTGTGTTTCCAGAACGACCGACTCAAGAATCGGACCCAAGACCCACGGTCTCGCGCGTCAACCATTAAACTCTAGACCGCCGAAAGTCTAACCCCAATCAATCGTGGTATTGCGCGACCTCATCCGTTGTCTTTGGTGTATAGCGGAATGCTGCGCAATAAACTCGTCTTTTCGTTAGCATACGGATATCTCGCCCACACCATAGGTGACGCAAGTTGGTAAAAGTCAGTCGAGCTTTCTATATCCTTGCCTACATTTCGTCACACACCAAGCTACCAGCACTAACGAAAGTCCCACGATAAATGACGCGATCAACACACTCAACTACCTCACTTTCTATCACTAGTTCAGATGCCGATGCAGGTGAATCCTGAAGCAACATTTTGCATTTGGAGGGGAAGAGTCTCATCCCAAACATGTTTGCATTGTTGCTTAGGATAGTCAGACGACTCTGCATTTTGTCAGCGTCTTCACCAAAAAGAAATATGTTATCGGTATATTCTACATCAAGCAGTGAATCTCCTAGTAGGTCAATTACTGTAAAGTCAGACGACGAGATTCGTTTGTAAACGCATGTCAATGACAAAGTTGAATAAGAATGGAGAGAGTGGACAAGCTTAACGAATACCAGTCGAGGTAATTAATTCGGATGACAGTTCACCATAAGCTGTGACCCGTTCAGTTGTGTTTGTGTAGAGAGCATGTAGACGGTTATGTCGGATTTTCGATGCCGGTTTCCTTGATACGTGAACAATTATCTACTGTTACCTATTGTCGCTGCCTTACCCATCTCTCTTACTTTCGCTACCCAGCACTCTTTGCGTGGGCTTTTTATCATCCTGAACTAGACTGACTCCACTCCTTATCCTGTTCGTAGTCGGATGGTATGTTTTTTCCGAGCATCTGTCAGTTCTGTAGGTGATACTGCGATCCAGTGTTTCTCCCTAAGATTATGGTTTGACCTACTAGCACTTATCAATGCTGTTTTCACACCTTTTTGAATATGATTCCAAGGCGTCTCATGGCGGGCATTACTTACATGGTTGCCTAACTGCTTTTCTAGTTGTTCCTGGAATATATTCCTAGCTTTGCCATCATTAAATAGAATCCTAAGAGATTTACTTACTGTGTCTTTCTTATATCTAGTAAGCGGCAAACAAATACGTGCTCGCACTAGAGTATGATCTGAATCTAAACATAGGCTCCAGAATGAGCGACAATCTCCAATGGAGCCTCTCCACCGATGGCTGATGCCTATGTGATCTAGTACGGTCCATCGTCTTGTCGGATTCGGGGGATCGCCATAGTAAAAGTTGTTTTTCCTTATGCTTATAGTTAGTATTTGCTAGAAATAGGTGATTATCTGATCATAGTTGCAACTGACGGTCGCCATTATCTGTTCGATCAGCCTTGACACCATGAAACCTATACAGGAGTCTTTCATTTTCTCTTGGTATACCTGCTTGAGCAACAAATTTTCCGCTTCTTTATTTCTTACCTTTTTGGATAAGGTCCGAAAGCTTTCTTTAATGTTCATCTTTTACCCATTTAATGGGTCAGCACACAAGCGACTGTTTGATGGCATTCACGTCAAGGTAACAGCTACGGTCGAGAAACTTAAAGAACGACATCTTAAGACAAACACCTAGTTCGTTCTGGGCGTCATGACATACCACACTGCACACAAATATTTGGAGATGGCTGCAGCTGAAGAAAACTTTCCTCGATTCCTATTGTCGCAAACTTTATTCACGATTAGTTTGTAATAGTCATGTTTACTTTACGGTGCGTCAATCATATATTTCCCTTTATCCTCATTTGGCATACCCACTTATTTTTCAACTCACACTGAACATCTTATATGGCGAAAATTCATTTCGATCTAAAAGATTTCAAGTTGCTGACTTATGTGAAGTTGAATGCTACCACCTAATACTAATTCTGAAACCACACGTGCCATTTAAACTGGTATGCTTCAACGTTCGCAAAATAACGCAAATTGGACAACAGATAGAGTTGGCTCCGCCTCAAAAAGCCTGTTGCTCTAAGAAGATTGTTTTATATGCGTTAATCCAGGAACTTTGTAGCATCGTCTCATTGTACTGTCGTTGGCATCTCTTTAAGGGTTATAACTAAATCACTGCTAATCAAACAGATCTTCATTAACAGACGATTATGTGATGTTCGATTTGGATTGCGATGTCTGTGTGAAAAATGATGACTTTTCATGATCTCCAGCTACACCACGACAAATTGCAGCCCAGATGCAATCAAGTAGTAGTTCTATCACTAGTTAATTGAACTTCTCCAGCAAGTGAGTTTGATAGATATTGTAGTACTAGCCAGAGACTTGAATGGACAGGTCGGCTGTCTAGACACAGAGGAGAGTATCCTGGACGAATAATGGGGTTTAGTTGTTTGTAGGTCAGACGACCGTAACAGTTAACTTCAACTTTGAACAGACTAAACCTTATTTCTGACTAGCGCTATCTATCAAAACAATCATCGTGGATATACTACCTGCCTTCTTCCCTCCGCATCTCAAGCACAGACTCAAACTGATTAGCTACCGCTGACGTGAGCGTACAAGGCTGCTGCTCCTTCTGGAGTACTTATCTGGTCTCTAATCATGCCGTTCGTTGCGCTAGCTATATTCTGCGTTTCAGTGACCAACAAATCGATCATCAGTAAATTGGTTATAGCTTCTGTTGCAAATAAGTATCGAACGGAGCTAGGTTCTAGACTAGCTATCGATCCACCAAAACATACAGATAAATACTGGCTCTAATTGCATGTCGCCATGGATATGGCGAGTCAAATCGCTCACAGCTCTGTCAAGTTTCTTACTTATGAGCGCTGATTTGCTGCAAATTCCTTAAAAACTTGAGGCATGTCGGCCTGCTCTGAGTAACCGTGAGCTCGACGACAAATGTAGGTTCTTTCGTAACCACTGAGAGGTCTGGTTGTCGCTGCCTGCTAACGAGTTGGAACGGAACCGTTTTCTGGAAACGCTTATCAAAGAAGGGTATACCTGAGAAGCCTAATAACGCCTTAAAGGCCCTATATACAAACACCTCTTTCAGAAGGATGGTATACAACTACTTCCATCTTTTGTTTCTGTTCAAGCAGTGGGGTTAAGTAGTGATGCTCAAACTCACTATTCCTCTTTAAACTAGCCTTCAATTACAACGTGCTGGTGTTAACAGTTTTGTCCTTTCTTCTTGAAACCTGGCTTTTTCGAGTTGAAGATATTTGTCCGACTATTTTTTCGGGGGATTCCTGACTTTCAGTGACAATAAAATTTAAGTAATGCGGAGATTCAATTTATGTTTGAACACAGTAAAGATAATTCGATTGGTATCACCATCCCGAAACACCAACTTTGTTAAATCGGACATTTGCAATGAATGTAAATTCCACACCGAGAAGGACTGAAAAATGGGTTTCCTAAAGGGGTTCCGTATGGTGGTGGCGATTCTGAGTACTCTGTAATATCGGCTTAGCAACAATGTTGAAAAATATGCATGATACTAACAGTAGTGTAATGCTTCTGTAGTTCTCACACTTACTGATATCACCTTTCATTGGTATTGTGATGACATATCCTTTTTCCAGTTAGTTGGTACTTGTTTCTCGTCTCAGATCTTTCTAGTAAGAACATAGGAATTCTTTACAGTTACCACTGTGTATGACTTTATTGCCTCGGTTGGTATGTTGTCTACTCCTAGAACTCGTTTCTCAGTTCATTCTCACTAAACTCACCAAACCTTTCCCTTTACCCGGATTCGAAACCGATTGCAGCTCCAAGTAGGTTGCGGACAGACTTATGCACATTGATAGGTAAGCTTAATCTTTATTCCAACAGAATGAGCGTCAAGATGTTTCATTTAAGATGTTTACCACTTAAACTACAAAGACATGCACAGCCAGATGCAAATTAAACAAATAAAAAACTATTCACAATGACTAACACATTGTCACCTTAGAGTAGTTGCCTAACCCCTGGTTATGAGCTGAAAATCACTCGAACAATGAATAAAATATGATTAATTTTCAGTGTACTTCATTGATAATGAATTGAGGTTGATTTTTAGTGTCAACTATATACATGGTAAA